TATCGATACTTAGGCATCTAGTTATACATGAACATTTATATCGATATTTAGGTATCTAGTTATACACGGACATTTATATCGATATTTAGGTATCTAGTTATACATGAACATTTATATCGATATTTAGGTATCTGGTTATACACTGACATTTATATCGATATTTAGGTATCTAGTTATACATGAACATTTATATCGATATTTAGGTATCTAGTTATACACGGACATTTATATCGATATTTAGATATTTAGTTATACATGAACATTTATATCGATATTTAGGTATCTAGTTATACGTGAACATTTATATCGATATTTAGGTATCTGGTTATATACTGACATTTATATCGATACTTAGGCATCTAGTTATACATGAACATTTATATCGATATTTAGGTATCTGGTTATACATGAACATTTATATCGATATTTAGGTATCTAGTTATACACGGACATTTATATCGATATTTAGGTATCTAGTTATACACGGACATTTATATCGATATTAGGCATCTAGTTATACATGAACATTTATATCGATATTTAGGTATCTAGTTATACACGGACATTTATATCGATAGTTAGGCATCTAGTTATACATGAACATTTATATCGATAGTTAGGCATCTAGTTATACATGAACATTTATATCGGTATTGAGGCATCTAGTTATACATGAACATTTATATCGGTATTTAGGAATCTAGTTATACACGAACATTTATATCGATATTTAGGAATCTAGTTATACGTGAACATTTGTATTTAAAGATACTAGTTTTATAATTCTTCTTTTTGCTTTGGGTATAAAGTATTTAAAAATTGTTTGATCAAAAAATAATATTATCCTTTGATTATTGATAATACAATATAGTTGGTGAACTATGCTTTAATAAATTTGAAAAAATGGATTTCTATCACTTTATGCCGGCAGCATGTAAAAAAAAGAAGAACCAATGGTAGAGAGTGTATAGTGCAGAGAAACTCTGAGACTAGGATTTCTACCACTTGATGCGGGAATGTAATAAACAAGAACCAGTAGTACAGAGTGTATAATGTAGAGAAACTCTGAAACTAAGATTTCTATCACTTTATGCCTCCAGATTTTTTTAAAAAAAGAACCAGTGGTAGAGAGTGTATAGTGTAGAGAAACTCTGAGACTAGGATTTCTATCACTTTATGCCTCCAGCTTTAAAAAAAATAAAAGAATCAGTGGCACAGAGTGTATAATGTAGAGAAACTCTGAAACTAGGATTTCTATCACTTCATGCCTCCAGACTTTAAAAAAAAAAGAACCAGTGGTACAGAGTGTATAGTTTAGAGAAACTCTGAGATTAGGATTTCTACCACTTGATGCGGGAATGTAAAAAAGAAGAAGAACCAGTGGTACAGAGTGTATAATGTAGAGAAACTCTGAAACTAAAGTTGCAGTTTTTGTTAAAGGGAAGTGTCGTCTTTTATTATAAAAAATATATAAAACAAGCTGATTCACGTTTTTCTAAGTTGCACATCTATACATTAAATGCATTGCAATAAACACGTCAGTAAAAGTAAGCATAACGTTGCATATTTTAGATGTTTTACGTAGCCCAAAAATCACGATTTATGAACTTTGTATGTTTATCCCGAAACTAAACTAAGATATGACAAACTTTAGGTTTTGAAGAAGCATCAGCAGATAAAATGTTTGATTAACCTCTAGCATGAAACAAATAGTAATAATAAAGAACGACAAGTATAATTTGCGTGTTGGAAATCCCCCTCTTCAAAAACCCGGTACTGCGTATTTGGAGTAATAAAATTACTCATAGACAATAATATGCTTGTTACTTACTTTACGGTAATTCGATAGACATATCGTCATCGTGTTTTGTATTTAATTTAGTAACATGATGAAAGCATGACTGAAAAATATATCTTGATTTTTCAGCACTCAACTTATAAACTGTTTCCTCACTGATTATTTCATCAATGAAAATGATATTGAGAGCATGACTTCATTTAGAAACATTCGTGATATTATTAGAATATAATCAAATGTGAGTTTTACAATTATACATCTATACTACAATGCGATGCGTAAAATGTTTTATGTACACGATATTTTGGACAAAAATAGAAAACAATTTGTTTGTAGTAAAGCACAAAGCTACAGAATGGGCTATCTGTGCTGTGCCCACCATGAGTATCGAAACACGGTTTTTAGCGTCATATGTCTGCAGACATACTGCTGAGCCAACTGGGGGACATAAAAAAACATCCAAAATCAACTGGTATAGGAATGGTTACAATTTTACTTCTTTATTACTCATCATACTGGATAAGTTGACTATTTACACATATACGTCTTTAAGTCCCAGCGTGAAAGATAAAATCAAATTTCAATGTAATTTTGAAAAATAACTAAAAACGGATTACACAGGAAAATGTATCTTTCAAACTTTTGATGAAAACTTAGGTTCTTCTTTTTATAAACGACGACAAAGACTATCAAGCTTCTTATTTCTAAATTTCGATGTTAATAGATTTTATCAATGTTTACTGAACAATATGCAAAGATTTTCCTAAGACTTACGGTATGAAAAATACTAAGTGTAGAATTAAAAAGAAAATGAAAAAAATAGAGTATTTTAAGAGTAGCTCGCAGATAGACTGATTGGGAAAAAAATAAATCTGTCAGTAGATGTTAATAAGTATGTAGAAATTAACGGAGAATTAATTATTAAATGATGTTCAAGGGAAGAAACACGAAATATAAAAACAAAGCTAGAATATCGTACGTGGACTTTTTTCATCTAGAACCAAACTAAGCCTACTTTTAATTCAATATCGTGAGCAGCTTTACAGTGGAAACGTTTAAGTAATTATACAACTTGTCAACCCATAGAAACAGGCCATCTTCAAGCGTTGTATGGCTAAAAGTTGTATAATTACAAACTAAGCCTACTTTTAATTCAATATCGTGAGCAGCTTTACAGTGGAAACGTTTAAGTAATTATACAACTTGTCAACCCATAGAAACAGGCCATCTTCAAGCGTTGTATGGTTAAAAGTTGTTGTTAATCATACAATGAAAGAAGATGAGCCATGGGTGTTGAAATATCTAAGTTTTAGTTGCTTAAAAATTTTCCATTGCAAATATGTTCATGATATTTGATTTAAGCACCGAGTGAGATCCCTTCTCTTAATACTTACTTAAGAACTATTACTTTGATATCTAAAAACATCATTAACCTGTATTGACCTTTATGTCAAGAAGTAATCATGACCAAAAGTTCACGCCAACATTAAATCCTTGCACTTCCATAATCCTGCTTGCCAACAATTAGGTCATTCTCAACCCGCTTATAGGGATAACATATAAAACATCTGAGTTCGATTTTCAACTTAAAATATGTACGTGAGAAAATTGGTTGTTGACATAACCCAAAGTTTCAGACATTATCGTAGTTTAAATAAAAATTCAAGAAACAGTATTATTTCAAAAAAAAACAACCCAAAAACAATCGTATTAGTTATGGAACGAGGTTATTTTAACTCTAAATAAAAATAACGAACAAACAAATAAACAACAACAGCAGAAATCTTCGTTATCAAGCTGTTTTCAGAGAACCTTGGTGATCGAGGCAAGTCTCTATTTTCTTATACTATTCCGTGTTAAAACAGCATGATCATAACGAACAACTTGAGACTCAAATAACGTATCTATTAACTTCTTGGGTGCGTTTTGTTTCGACTCCAATGTATGTCATAAATCTTTATTACATAACGAAACTCGCCCATTTCGTTGCGTAAAAATGGTTAATTTAAAGAAGTTCAAGTTAAAAATTGTTATTCTTTTGTAATTCCCTATTCTCTCTTTTACTGTTTACTTAGTGAAACTTGTTTGTTGGTAGATAAAGGTATGTTTGAATTCTCATACGAATAACTAGACATTTTAATATAAACAACTGTATATTATTTTTCTACATTTAATGTTTGGGATATGAAATAACGAAAATGTGGCACTAGCTTAAAAACTCAAAACGTTTTTAATGTAATATATTAAAATACTCTCAAAAAGTAAACACAGAACTACAATATATTAAACTCTGCTGAACCCACGAAGACTAACGTAATGGTATTAATTGAAAGGTGCTAGAAAGCGGATCGGAGTGGTCCTGTGTTAATTAAACTGTACGGACTCACAAGAATGGTTAATATGATGGACTACTTTCACAACTACTTGTTTTCATTAGTAGTGCTTAACTATTTATTTTAAGTTTACAAAAACAATGAAATACGTATAGAGAGAATAAAAATAACAGGTCTGTTCTACTGATTTTAAAGGATCTTCGCATAATATATATATTTTACATATACTTTCAAGTTCCCTCGTAAGCTCTTCGGTAGGTGTTGATTATTGAAAATGTATATTTTTTCAGAGAAAAACAACCGAATAAGCTTGTAAATATGTAATCTTTTATTTTGAATAATTATTTCAAAAGTTCTGTAATGTCTGTTTAATTTTTACATGACACTAGTGTTATCGATTTCTGGTATATATACACTTAGAATAATTCTGATTTATATTGTCTTAGATGGTTAACACACTAAATGTGAAACCTCGTTGTGGAAAAACAACTACAATAAATTGCAAATCAAATATTTGTAAAAGAAACAGGCTTCACATTTCCTCGCGTTAAAAACGGCAGCCGGATAATTATAACCAAGACATACCCGATATACTATTTATTGATCGAGATTTCTTTATTGAATTTATTCACATTGCCAAAACGTGGAAAAACTAGAAACAATATAGGCTTAAGAATATTCACCTTATTGTACTTATATGTCAAAGCGATTCAGATTTCACAAAATAGGTTTATTTCTGTGTTTAAAAGCATTTATTAAAAAAAAAAAAGACGATGTTATATCATTACACAATGAACATTAACTGTTTATGATAAGCTAAAATCGCTTTTATATTTCTAATAAAATATAAAAACTGATAAAAAACTCACCTTCGGTAGTTGTTAGTAAAAGTGCGAATAATGTCCCAAATGTCACACTCAAACAAATGCTATATTTCATAACTGACATGATAAAAATAAGCCAAGTTTGCGACATTCTACAGTTCGATGCAATGTTGTTTTAGTAAGAAGTCGTTCGTAGCAGGAGTGGTTGTTCCATCTCACATCATTTCTATAAGATCCACGATTCAAGGCTGAAGAACAAACTTGCAACAGTAAGGGGTATGCCGAGATATTTGGTTGTGATCATTGGTTTGAATCTTTCGACTCCTAAACAGTGCTTCCCATGCAAACTGCGAGACTAACAGCAGCGGCTCACCATACAGCGCGTGCTTTCAGGGGATGACTGCACGAGAGAAGGCAAAAAGACGCTTCTCTAGACTCAGAGGTAATGTCCTAGGAAGACAGCGCCACCTAGTGACAGGTAACAGAATTTGTATAAAACACTAAATGTGTGAGTATAAGTTGGCCAACTGCCAGATTCCCTGTACTCAGGTGCATTATGGTCGACAGAGACGGCTGAAAGTATAATGAATGTTAAAATAGATTCAAGATGACAATTGTAACACTGTTGAAATTATCAGAAGTAAGAACAGAACTACATTTGGCCATCTTCCTCATGAGTTTCAAAAGTACAGTGTTCCTGTACTCTAAGTACGTAAAGTTAGCATGGAGAACAATAAGAAAGAAATCAGTACATTATTAACCATATCCGCAGTGGTTCAGTGATGTCTGAAGGCCTATATCGCTAGAAACCGGGTTTCCTTCCCTTGTGGTGGGGACAGCACAGATAGCCTGGTAAAGGATGAGTTAAAATGAAAACTTTATTTCATAGAATATCTGGTATAATATGAGGCTATCTCAAAGAAAATTATGCCAAGTTTTATTTTCGATTACTTCATTATGTACTGTGTTTTGAATAATATACTGTAAAATAGTTATCGGATCGGGCTTGGGGATTAACTTACCGGTGGCATTTTGGAAGGTCCTAGGTATTATAGTGTTGGACACGTTCCGTATATTCAGCTGTAGGGGCGTAATACTTATGACAGCCAATTCAGCTATCCATTTAAGAATAGCCATATACGCGGTGGGTGATGCTGCTGATTGCCCTTCTACGTCCATATGACGCATATGGTGCCCTTCCAGTTGAAAGTATTAATACCAAACTACTTCAAATTGTTTAATTTTAATTGCAATGAAATATTCCAATTAGGAATTCATAATTAGAAAATATTTAACCTTTCGAGTTATACCTGCTCTAAACGTATGATAAAGTATGATACGTATGCTCTAAACGTATGATAAAGTAAACTCAATAAAGTGAACATTTGTGCTTAAATTGAAAACAATAGATTTTTTTATAATAGCCACTGAATTTTATATGTGATACTTTAATATTTTACTTACTAGATGCTCTTCTATAATGAATAAAATATTTTGACCTCTAGTAATTAAAAATATCTGAAGATATATACGACCGAGTCAGGCTGATAATAGAATAGATATTTGTGTGTTCCATATAGAAGTTTCTGAATGTATACAAAGAATCTAAGTAATTGTAGTTTATAAAAGTAAAAACTGTGTGGTGGCTTAGCTAGCATTATGCTACACTTATTGGTAAGTCATCATTTTGAAGGCAAAGATAGTTTAGCTTATTAACCTAATATTTGTTTTATTTATTTATTTTCTCGCTTAAAGTGTTTAGCCCCGGACAAAGAATAAGCTCTCTTTCCCCGGCCCCACATTTCCAGGTGGTTAGGGCGCTGGACTCGCAATCTGAGGATCGCTGGTTTGAATCTCCGTCCCATCAAACATGCTTGCCCTTTCAGCCTTTTAATCAATCCCACTATTCGTTGGTAAAAGAGTAGCCCAAGAGTTGGCGGTGGGTGGTGGTGACTAGCTTCCTTCCCTCTACTCTTTCACTGCTAAATTAGGGACGGCTAGCACAGATAGGCCTCGTGTAGCTTTTCGCGAACTTCCAACCCCCCCACATTTATGAAGTCTCGTAGTGTTGTGTTGTCTTTTATTATACATCACCAACCATTTGGTACTATTTTTATTGTTTTCGTTTAAACAACAGGTACAAATCTGCAAGTCACGTCACAACCATAACCAATATAAAGTCTTGGTGCTATGGAATATACCATACTTCCATTTTAAAGATGTTTGGTATTTTATTTAGATTGTGCAATCCAACCAAAAATTTTTGTTTTGGGAAGGGGTATGTAACAGCCATTTCACATACATAATATTTTTATACTCAGAACACTAACTTGTGTTTTGATTCAGGTATTTAGAATTTCTAAATCAGAAATATCCTTGTATGTAATGGTATTCAAAAATAATGGAATATGGATCAACTTGGGGTACCAGCACCATCCAGAAAGAGACCCGCAATAAGTCGTACTCCAGCCATGGTAATCAAAGTGCAGTGTCTTGTAACAAGTGATAATCTAAGAATACAAAAATCAGCTGTAAAATCCGTACACGTGGCCCACGCAACATTCTTCAACACAATCAAAAAGATCTGCGTCTAGAAACGAGGTCAACAAGGTTTGGATTCACCAAGAAAAAGTTTCATGTCATACCTCTCGTTTAGCCATTGCATATGTCAAGCAATTGCAGAATTGATGATATTCACGATATTTCATATGAATATATGCGGGTCAGGTCGTCGGATACAGGAAGCAGGGAGGATTGTTGTGCTATGGACATGAAAGTTTTATGACGAGCCTTGCCTTTTGCAATGGAAAATACGCTGCCGGACTACTGGCAAAATGCACTGTTGTCAAATAAAGTATGGCTGGACATGGTAACATGAACTGTAATGGCGTGGTGAGGCTTCAAAATAATTTTAAATAACGTACTAAAACTCTTATATTATATACCTGAGAAGCTTGACATGGTTTATCCCCCTTCCAATAACCTCTTCAAGGTTCTTCTAGGAATAATAATGTAGCGTACGTTCTTTACTTTCGCTCTCAATCCATTTCTATAATTATCTATTTCCAGTAACCTCTTTTTTCACCTACTTCTGTTCCCTCATTTGAGATATTTCCATGTTACCCAATGGCTGCGCGCTTTTCCAGATAGGTGGACCACTTTTTCTTTCTATGATATGTCGCTGTGGTCTAAAATATAGGTCATTATCAGATGAGTAGTTTTATGTTTAACGTCAAACAATAAAATTTTCATTAATTAATTTATATTTGCCACTGATATTGAAAGTAGTTTATTAATACCATACTCTAGTGGCTGCAGCATAACAATGCTGTCTGTAAATATGTTTTCATCGTACTTATAAAAAGGATGAATGCGCTTTCATTATACTTATAAGAAATAACTTGGGTATTGAAAATGATGATACTCATAAGAAAATATATTTACTTAGAAATGGATAAATTAATTATGATATCGCACGGAAAAGTGAACGTCGTGTTGGGTGTGTGTGTTTGGACATAACATATAGCTTATTATTTGCGCTTGCAACAGTCCATCTTAAAGGTCCCCAGTGGGTAAGCGGTAACTTTCTGGACTTACAAAGCTATATTCGGGATTCAATTTCACGAGGCGAATAGTTGAAAATAGCCAATTGTATAAGTTTGTACAACAAAAACAAGAATAACAACCATCTTAAAAATTAATACGACATTACTGAAATGCGTTGTCCTGAACAAAGCGTTAACAAGACAAGCATAACTATAATTTTCAGGGTAGCTTGGACTTAGTCAGCTAATTTCGAGTTACGCTTCACTTTTAAGAAAAAAAAACGTTTAATAGAAATTTCATTTCTTCATAATTCTTTACTGGGTTGTTTAGAGAGGTTTTCTCGATGATTTCCTGCTCTCCATATAGGGAGACAATTAAAATTGTGGTTAAGAATTGCAAAGTAAGTTATCTACAAAACAAGGGTTGTTTAGAGAGGCGTTCTCGATGATTTCCTGCTCTCCATATAAGGAGACAATTAAAATTGTGGTTAACAATTGCGAACGTAAGTTATCTACAAAACAAATTACACCTAAAACTATAATAAAAATTATCAAATAGTCCCCCCTTTACAATGATACAATAGTTCTTGTCTTTACCTGTTCTAAAATGACAATTCTTTGAAATGATCAACACTAAGCATTTAAACTGAATCATCGAAAACAGTCATAGCAAAAATGAGCCCAGTGCTGAAAAAAATGTTTAAATGATCAAAAATAAGAGGAGAGAGAGAAGTTGGTCAAAGAAGAAAATCGATCACGCCAAACTTTAAACTTCTGCTTAAAAGATCCTCAAAACATCCTAGCCCAAATTACTTAATTTTTTCACAGTTTTTGTTTTAAGACAAAGACCATTTACATCTGATTTTGTAAAGTTACAAATCTAATAAAACGGAGGAAACTTTTCAGGATAAATATCGCGAGAAATGTTTCCCTATGTAGTCGATAGACATTCATGTTACATAAAACTATAATAATGTCCAACAATTCAGGCAAATCTTTGAGTCTATGATTTCAGTATAAAAAATGAAAATATTTTTAATTCAAAAATATTGCATCTCAAGAATTTGTCAAAAAAAAAAGATTAAAATAGATTAGTTTTGTACGTCGATACATAATGAATGGGTTTGTTTTTAAAAGAACACTAAATACTTTTGCTCTTTTTCTTCTGGGAATGTTTACATCAGTACGAGTTAAGATTTCAGTTTTCTGTATCTTTGTAATTTGAAACTTTTTTAGCGATTTTTCTTCAAATGTATGTTTACGTGAAAGATATTTTTTACTTAGCGTTTTTGATTCACCCACAGACTATATAATCTTGAATTCCAGATATATTTCGTAAGCTCGTATTGATACTTTGGACGAAAAGAATAGTACATTAAAATGAACAGTCATTTTTCGTCCAAACTAATATAGCTAATGAATAATTAGCAGAGTCAAGTACATTTTTCAAAACCTCTTTAAAGCTATCAAATAAACTCGATTTCTAACGATCGCAATTTCTATTTTAGTTGCTTGAATAATCATTATAACTTCAGAATGCTACATAGACCTGAAAGAGATTGTGTAATTTTTTCTTTAGTATTAGTATATAAGTTGTGGTAAGGATGTTTTCTCGCATATTTATTTCTGAAGGCGTAAACATAGAAAGGTGGACGTTAGATATCTTTATGTGCTAACATTTAATAATTGCCCCCCTCCCCAGTGGCACAGCGGTATGCCTGCGGACTTACAACGCTAGAATCCGGGTTTCGATACTCGTGATGGGCAGAGCACAGATAGCCCATTGTGTAGCTTTGTGCTTAATTGCAGACAAACAAACTTTGATAATTAAT